CACAGATATTATAGCTGTTAAGAGAACGAGATTATATCGCCAGCAAAAAAGTAAAGAAAGTAAAAAAAAATTCAAGCAGTCAATGAATGTATGTTAATTTTAATTACATGAAGCTCTTCAAACACATTACATGATAATTGAAGTTGCAAAAACAATATTTGTTTAGGCGTTGTTTTACATAATCCACTGTGTGAACAAATATTAAAGAATTTATTTTAATTAGCAATTACTTCATTTCTCTAATGAATGTTCAATTCTAAATGCTAATTACAATGACAAATCGATCATGTCATATTCAAAGTATGACTTTAAATACATTATTATTTTTAAATATTATACATATTTTTAATGCTATAATAAATGTTTCATTCTATTTTAATATTCCGTACATATTAAATTCCCGATCAAAGCTTGACGAAACCATTGCGTTCAATATCTTACGTGCACATGAAATGTGATATTTTTGCCTATTAACTATTGTAATACTAGACGAATGAGTAATGTAATAGGTGAAAAAAGCTTGAAATGATCAAAATTTAGAAAATATATTTTATTCTTGGATAGCATGTGAATAATATATGAACATTATACACCTCTCTCACGCTTTCAAAAATTCGTTTTATCTCCTCCAATTTCTTGTTGTTATTTCCATAAAAGTGTCAAAGTTGTTTTTCATTCCATTATTAATTTATCATTGAAAGTTCATACCAATTAAGCTCCGAGTTCGCATCGCTGATGCTTTTGTCCTCTCGATAATTTGGGTGGAACAGAAAATTTAGTTAATTAATGTTGTTCAAAACATTATTAATTAGATGGAACAAACGGATAATAACTAACTCAAATATTCAAGATAAATTTCTTTAGATAATCGATAAATTTGTGAGAAAAAAAATACTGTAAAGTCCTTCATTCGGAATTGAAACAGGACTTACTCCTGAAACAAAAAATGCATTAGAAAGGCAAAATGTTATATGATATATTTAGCAAAGACTAAACAAACTGAAATTTAAGCTGTAGAATCTGTTCTTAGATAAGAAACAATATAATTTAGTAAGAGCGCTTAACGCTAATAAATTTATATTTTACTATAAACTTTATTGTTACAAATAGCACATAGACCGAACGATCAAAAACATATTATCAAATCATTTTATTATCAAAATTCATACTATATATAGAGAAAAATCAATTAAAAGTTATATTCTCTGCTCATGATAGAAAAATTATAGAAAAATCAATAACAACAACAATATTCCAACAAGGATATCCCTAATTATAGCAGGTTTTTGGATATTAGCTGCAATAAATATATTAATATGCATATTTTCTACGTCGACTGTTAGTTTCAATTTAACCAACGGATTTTTAAAAGCACTTGCAACAAAACAAATCTTGAACTTGTGTCATTGTTGTAATATTAGATATATTACTATTATTTACTAATAGTGCCTATTTATAGTATATACAATTACGTAAGAAATAGTAAAACTGCAACAATTTAAGGCAAATGGTGCAAATTTAATTTGAAAATCACTAATATCGACCAAAATTACAAAACTGCAAACCTGCAACAGTGAACAATATAAGAAATTCGTATTTCTTTAAATAAAATCTAAATTTTTTCTATACTAGCGCATAAATTTTGTGTTATTTCAAATATCTAACCCTTTCCACTCGCGAATTGCAGAATTAACATGCATTTTGCCACCACAGTGACGGAGTGGAAAGGGTAAAAACGAGTGTGAAAAATTGCGCACCTAAATATTTTATATATCACAGCATTATAAACTCTATTAGTTTATAAAAAAACTAGTGGTGCATAACATTGTGCAAACGCAAAGTGCTGGAACTTCCCGTACTGTAACTTAAAATTTTGATACTTTTGAAATTCTTCTTACATTTTCGAAACATTTGAATAATTTTAAAAAAATCGACTTACATATTTCAAAATTATATATCTTTTTGAAAATCTTGAAATTTTTTCAAAATTTTGAAATCGCTGGACCTGTCTTCCGTAAAAACTAATTAATTTCTCCGGCAAACTCGCACTAAAATCATAGCCATAATTTGATATGAATGTGCCCAATGATGTGACCTCGAATAGCATTTTTTTAAACTTTTTTCTCTGCAGACATATATGTATCCCCGAAACCTCTAGACCTATCTTTCCAAAAATTTAACCAATTATTCATTCTGTAAATACACGTTATGTTTTTAGAATCATTCAAATCGGACGCTCCGCTTTCTCAATAATACCATTTTTTGCACGTTTGTGTCGTATCTTAGAAACGTGCGCCCGAAATCGTGGACAAAAAATTGTATCCAGGCAAACATACATACATACATGTATACAAACACACACAGATACACTAACTCACAAACAATTTTCATTTTCGATTTTTGTGAGATTACTATAACTTATCCTACTGGAAGTTAAAAAAAACTATTAGACAGATGAACGTTCGACTAACTATTTTGTCACATCACTCAGACTCTCTAAACATAAGCGCTAAAAAACATCCCTTACAAACACAAAAGAGAAAATATTGCGATAAAATTTGTCTGCATCAATATCGATCATCTAAAAATTTTTCCCATCTCTACTTGGTATTCATACGAGTTTGAAAACCGAAAATAATGATGTGTTATAGGTATTATTCAAGAGTTGGATGTCTAACGGCCTCTTCCACACGACAGGTTATATTTGCACATAGACAATGGACGATAATGGGCTTCGCTGTTATAATGTAACCATGAATCGATACTTTAACAGCACTCGAAACTTGCCAAGATAAAATGAACTGTAATTTTACGTGATACACGCGAAAATAAATTTTAGGTCGGATACCAAGAAAATCGTGTTTGCACATGGTACACTATCAAAAAAAAGTATTATCGGTCATTTCATATGTTTGCACACAGATTAGTATTTCCTGGAGAAAAACTGATTCCACAAGTTAAAAGATACGTTGATAAATGTCTATTACATAATAATTTGAATGATAATAAATGGTACATAATGTTATGTAGTGTAGTGCACTCTAAAACGGATCTCTATTATTATGAGCAATCTGTTCACCTGTCTGTCTGTTGCACCCGAACATTTCCTAAACTAATCGACATGGAAATCCTGTGTTGGGAAACTGAAAGCCAAATATCAAATTTCTGGATTCGCTCTATGAAAAGGGATTTGTACAATATATTATTCGGTACAAAATATAAAACAAGCATCACTACAAATGTATTTTTGTTACGTAGTTATAGAATTTATTAAAACACTCCTTCGATAATTCAGGTTGTTGGGTTATAATTTAACCCTTGTAGCTGTGGAATGTATTAAACACTGATTTATTTTTATATTATGTATTTGTTGTAGTTCTAATTACAATCACTGATTTGTAACAAAGTTATAATGAAAGCAGATACATTTATTTTTATTGGTTATTTACATATTGTTAAGCGGACTTTACTTTTTGAAGTAAACAACTAGTTCAATTAAAACACTCCGCAACCCCTTCTACCAGGGGTAGCAACCATTCCGTGTAAAGCTTAATGCCCTGAAGTTTGTCACCTTCATGGCCAATATAATAAAACGAAAAGACGTCCGAACAACAAACAATTATCAGAACAAATAATTATTCCAATGTAGTCAAAGGACTTAGGGCAAATTTGACATCAGATCGAATTTGACTTTGAGCAATTATATGATAAAAACCAAACCAATTATATCACAACAAATAACATATATCAAACAAACAACTCTCTGACTAAGTTCAGTAAAACTCCCAGCTAATTCATCATTGTAGAAATGGCTTTATGCTGTTTTTCAAAAATTTATTACTTGGTCCTTTTTACCCTGTAGTCGGGGTAAAATGGGACTGCCAGAGGGCGAACAAAACCAATATCTTATTTTTAATTTTAAAGGCTTTAAGCTACAATGGGTATATTTTTTTAAATAACACTTTATACAACCTTGATCTGAAATG